GTAAATAACTATCGTTAACAGTCACTTAAAATGTATTTAATTGTGTATTTGAGTGTGAGAAGGGGAAATTCGGTCTAAATGTCATGTCAACTAATGAAATATATTAGAAAAAAATGTAATTGAATGATTTGGTACTTTCATATTAGAACTAAAAGTTTGAAACATTAACAAAAGAAGGAAAATCAAGACCTTCTAATCAATTTTAAGTAGAAGAAAAAATTGGATTCGTTGACAAAAACATTGAGACATGCTCAAAACTTGATCTCCTCAAACACGATTTTTTTTATATAATGGAAGCACGTCGATACAATGTCATGATCTTTTGTTTATTAAGCAAATTACTTTTATCAAACAAAATGGGTTCTTTCCATTTTTAGTTTCTTGGGCCTAATTATGGGCCTCTTGTGTTTACCAAACAGGAAACCTAGACTTGTGTGGGACGCCACTGGCTGCGTGCAAGTCCTCAAAGAAGAAAGTCCTCCTAATCATCGCCGTCACAGTCATCTCAGTGGCTGTAATCTTGTTCATTGCAGCATGCCTCGAACGACGCCGTTCAGCACAATCAAAACAAGTAACAAGAGTACAAGACAAACTAGGGGCTCACCATGACACAAGTGCAATGGAGGTCCAATTGGCAGCTGAAGAAGAAAATAACAACAAACTAGGGGCTCACCATGACACAGGTGCAATGGAGGTCCAATTGGCAGCTGAAGAAGAAAATAACAACTTCCATAACAATGCTGAGAGAGAAGGAGGAGGAGGAGGAGAGTTGTATTTTGTGAAGCAGGACAGAAATTTTGAGTTGGAAGAGTTGCTGAGGGCCCCAGCTGAGGTTCTAGGGAGTGGGTCCTTTGGGTCATCTTACAAGGCAGGGATTTTGAGTGGGCCCGTGGTTGTGAAGAAGTTTAGTCAAATGAACCAAGTCAGGAAAGATGAATTTTATGACCACATGAGAAGGCTTGGGAGGTTGTCACACCCTAATTTGCTCCCACTTATTGCTTTCTATTACAGGAAAGAAGAGAAGCTCTTGGTTCATGCTTTTGTTGCCAATGGAAGCTTGGCTAGTCACCTCCACGGTATGTTCATAACCCTAACATTGCATATCATTACATTACTAATCACACATTTCACAAAGTTGAGATTCAAGTAGAATTTATATGAATGAGTGGGTATTATTTATGTATGAGATAAGATTAACAATGTTATTAGTAAATGTGGTACATATTGTATGTTTGTAGATGATTATATAATTTAATAATTTGGTATCTATCTTATTCATGTTAACTTTTGGGGTAAAGTACAAAAAACTACCTCAACTATTAGGGTCACGACAGTTTCATACCTCATCTTTTAAAATTGACAATGTCATACCGCATCTTACGAATTTGTGACAATGTCATACCTCTGTCAATTTTTCTGTTAGTTTTTCTGTTAAATGCTGACGTGGCAAGAGACAGGGACCACTTTCTATTAAAAAATTAATAAAATATTATTAAAAACTAAAAAAAAATATTTAATATTTTTAAATATTAAAATAATAAATAAAAGTAAAATTAAAAAAGAAAAAAGGTAAAGTACAAAAAATTACCTCAACTATTGGGGTCACGACAGTTTCATACCTCATCTTTTAAAATTGACAATGTCATACCGCATCTTACGAATTTATGACAATGTCATACCTCCATCAATTTTTCTGTTAGTTTTTCTGTTAAGTGCTAACGTGGCTTGATTTGGAACTTACTTTCTATTAAAAAATTATTAAAAACTAAAAAACAATTATTTAATATTTTTTAAATATTAAAATAATAATAAAAAGCAGGAAAAAAAACCCTCATTTCGTCCCTCCCCTCCCCCTCCTCCCTCCTCTCTCCTCTCCCCATCTTCATCTTCTTCCCCCACCTGCAAATCCCAACCAAAAAAAAAAAAACCCAGATCCCGTGGTTGAGCAGAGAAGGTGGAGGATGGGTGCGGAAGAGAATGTGGAGAATGGATGAAAGTGGTGGATTTGGGGTTTGATGGGTTTTCAAAAAAAAAAATTTTCCTTCTTTTTTTCCTCTTCTTCTTCTTCTTCTTCTTCTTCTTCTTCTTCTTCTTCTTCTTCTTCTTCTTCTTCCGCAGGGGAGTTGATGGTTTAAAAAATAAAAATAAATAAATAATTTCCTTCCTCCTTTTTTTCCTCTTCTTCTTCTTCTTCCTCATTCTCCTTCTCCTTCTCCTTCTTCTTCTTCTGCAGGGGGGTGTTGATGGGTTTTCAAATTTTTTTTTTTCTTCCTCTTCTTCTTCTTCCTCCTCCTTTTTTTCCTCTTCTTCTTCTTCCTCCTTCTCCTTCTCCCTTCTTCTTCTTCCGAGCCAACAGGGGGGAATTTTTTCTTTTTTACTTCCTCCTTTTTTACTCTTCTTCTTCTTCTTCCTCCTCCTCCTCCTTCTCCTTCTTGTTCTTCCGCAGGGGGTTGGGTTTTCAAATTTTTTTTATTTTTTTGGGTTTGCAGGTGGGGGGAAGAAAATAAAGATGGGGAGAAGAGAGAGGAGGGGGGAGGGGGAGGGGAGGGACGAACTGATGGTTTTTTTTTTCCTCTGCTTTTTATTATTATTTTAATGTTTAAAAAATATTAAATAATTGTTTTTTAGTTTTTAATAATTTTTTAATTGAAAGTATGTCCCAAATCAAGCCACGTGAGCACTTAACAGAAAAATTAACATAAAAATTGATGGAAGTATGACATTGTCACAAATTCGTAAGATGCGGTATAACATTGTCAATTTTAAAAGATGAGGTATGAAATTGTCATGACCCCAATAATTGAGGTAGTTTTTTGTACTTTACCCTTTTTTTTAATTTTAATTTTATTTATTATTTTAATATTTAAAAAATATTAAATATATTTTTTAGTTTTTAATAATATTTTATTAATTTTTTAATAGAAAGTGGTCCCCGTCTCTTGCCACGTCAGCATTTAACAGAAAAACTAACAGAAAATTTGACGGAGGTATGACATTGTCACAAATTCGTAAGATGCAGTATGACATTGTCAATTTTAAATGATGAGATATGAAACTGTCGTGACCCCAATAGTTGAGGTAGTTTTTTATACTTTACTCTAACTTTTGCTAGACTCGGTCAATTAGTACAATATTGGCCAACTTTCCAACCAATTAGAACTTGTTTGACCACATTATTGATTACATCTCAAACACTAATGCACTTAATTAACTTGATGTTTTCCGTGTATTTTCAGTTAAGCGAGAACCCGGGCAGCCAGGATTGGATTGGGCAACTCGGTTGATGATCATCAAAGGAGTGGCAAGGGGCTTGGCCTACCTCTACAGAGAGTTCCCCGGCTTAACCGTACCCCATGGTCACCTCAAGTCTTCCAACGTGCTCCTAGACCACAACTTCAACCCCCTATTAGCAGAATATGCCCTCATACCCTTAATCAACAGAGACCATGCACAAAAGTTCATGGTGGCCTTCAAGTCCCCGGAGTTCTACCACACCGAACGCACGTTGAAAAAGACCGATGTATGGAGCCTAGGCATACTCATCTTCGAAATGCTCACGGGAAAATTCCCAGCAAACTATCTCCAACCGGGGAAGCGAGCGAATGCAGACTTGGCGGCTTGGGTGAACTCGGTTGTGAGGGAAGAGTGGACGGGTGAAGTGTTTGACAAGGACATGAAGGGGACGAAGAATGGGGAAGGCGAAATGCTGAAGCTGCTGAAGATTGGGATGTGTTGCTGTGAGAGCCATGTGGAGGGGAGGTGGGATTGGAGAGAAGTTGTGGACAAGATTGAACAGTTGAAGGAGAGGGATACTGATGAAGATTACTCTTCTTATGCTAGTGATGGGGATGCGTATTCTTCTAGGGCTATTTCTGAGAATGACTTCTCTTTCTCTGTCACTGCTTGAGTTTAAGGGTTTTTGGTGGGGGGGAAAACAAAAACGTATTAATATTTAATGGAAGTTAATTAGGAGGATTTACATACGCTTTTGCACTGTGTTTTTTGGTAAACACAATTTGCACTCCTAATTTGAGGAACAATGAATAACAATGGCCAAAGAAAAATAGAAAATGCGCCATGAATTTTTTTCATACTCTTTTATCCTATTCTTATTTGAAGGCTTATTCTTAATTTGAAATCTATTTGCATTTCTATGAGGGAGAGAATTACTGAAGGCAAAGAGGACAACAGAAAAGGAGCCCTTACCCAGTCACAAGTCAATTGTCTTGTTCAGCGGTCTTCCGCTGAAATAGTCCATACAATTCAGCGGGCAGCCACGGAACTTCAGCCCACCGAACACATCCGTAGCACAAGGAATTGGCTTTGTTCGGTGAAAGAAAGCAAATAGTGCAACCAAAGTGAGATTATAGTGGAAATGAGTTCATTTTATGTTCGAAGTTTTCCTTCTTCAGGACTTGCATGTACTAGGTTCGCATATGTGGCGGTAACAAAAGGTTAAAAATCAATAATGCAATTTTATTTAAAGAGAAGTTTGCGCATGACATTGTATTATTGGTTTGGAACGTTACCGTGATTATAATTAAGAATGTAAAATGGTATCAATTGATTTCAATCTGAATGACTTTTCATTCTATCATATTTACCGAACATCTTGTGACATCTTGTGCAAGTATAGCTGTGAAGTAATTGGATTTTCAATTGGTTGGTACTTAAGTGTCTAGTATTTTATCATGTCATTTTAATATCTTAAGAAAGTGTCTTCCAAAACGTCTACTCATTGGGTTTTAAGAGGGCTTCAACCATTAACATCAACTCCAAGAGTTTTAGAACTCGTTTGGAAATATTTTTAGAATTATTGATAACATTTCCGGTAAAAATGCTTTCTATACCAATATTTAGAAAAAATTCAAATGAATCTTGAAAAAACAAAGTGCTTTGTGCAAGAAACAAAAACAAAACAACGCTTATAATGCAGAGATAGATAATAGTAGTCATAGCCGTCAAAAGTTATCATCTAATAAATTGTTGAGGAGATTTTTTAACATGTCCGAAACACAAGAAAACACTACATGTCATTATCCAATGATAGGGTTCCAACCATGGTACGTTTATTAGCTATATGAAGGCCCTGACACTTCTTAACAAAGCGCGCGCAATTTCTCTGTTTCGTTTTACTAGCCTTCATTAACAGCTAGGGTTTAAGGAACGGAAGCTTACACTTCAATGGCTTGGTGGGAAGGCTCCGACGAAACCCGTCTTCTCATCGCAGCAGGTAAAACTACTACCCCAATCTTTTGTTCTCAATTTTCAATTTAATCCTTTCTGCGCACAATCCCTAAACGTAAGCGCAAAATCTACAGATACTGCTGAAACCGGAAACGACGCAGGACAATTGCTTTCGCTCCGCCATCCCAAGTCCGGTATTTCAAAATGCACGCATTTAAGTTCTTGAAATTTTGGAAATTAGGGCATTTTTCATTTTTTTTATTTCATTTTTTTGACAGGAAACAAAATGTGCTGCCTTTTTGTAAATGAGGTGCTTCAGGAACTTAATTGGTTCAAGCAATCCTACACTTCTTGGTTTCTGGGTGATTACGTTGCTGAAGGTTGTACCTTTATTGATTTTCCTTTTATTCTATTAATTTCTGATTTTTTATTTTTTTGGTGAAATTTAATTGAATTATTCTGATCATTGGCTAATTTCTGTTGCAATTCCATATAGATGGTGGGTTGTATACTGCCACTCCAGTTGACCCTGTGTTCATTTTCTTGCCCATTTTCGAACAAGCTAGAATGAAGGTACCCGAACTTCCGTGGTGCTTTAATCCCGCACCCTAATTATGAATCTTGTTTGAGTATTTTTGTACATTATGTTTATCCCATTGATCCCAGCGGTTGTTTCATTGATATAAAAAAATGCAGAAGGGGGATGATCCTGGGAAGTTCAGGCTTTTAGATGATATAATCTTCATCGAAGGCTATCCTGGATACCATAAACTACTGTCCATTGCGGAGAACTGTATGCAATTAGTTTGCGAAATTAAAGGTGGGACACTACCCATGCACTTGTAGTTCAGATTTTAGGTGGAAGCTTGCAAATTGATCAATGAACATGTACTGCTGTATCATGAATGCATCTTACATTGCTTGTCAAAATACGGTTTCAGTTTCTAACAGAACTAATGACCTCTAATTTAAGGCGCTATATGAGCCTGAGTTTCAATGTGCTTCTTTTGTTGGAGTTTCCAATTGAATGATTTGAATTCTTACAACTTTTAGTGTCAAATATTAAAATGGACGGTGTTATAGTATTCAAGCGGATAAGGTTTTTGTTTCCCTCTTTGTGTGCAGAAATTGGATCCTCCAAATTTTTTAGGCTGGATGATTCCAAGGTTCTGGCTTGGTTGTACCACAAGGTCTGTCTACTTCTGATTTTGCTCAAATTTGATGTGCGATGATTAATGATTGTTGATGAATTACTCCCCATTCTCCCTGTTTTAGTTAGTTTTCGGGTATGGAAACCTTGTTGAAAAACAGTGTGATCTATAAAATATGTATTTGACAGACCTCAACTTTCAGTTTAAGAACTGCAGTTGTACGTCATTCAAGCATCAAAGCCATATGTGAAGGATAAGCATGGATGTTTACTTTTATCCGTTTAGCTTTTTAAATAGAAGGCACTTCATATTACTTGCGGCGCACATGACACGGATGACCATGAACTAGTTGGTTTACTTATTCCTGCTGGCGTTGTCAAGTTAGTCTTGTTTATTGTGATAATTTAATTTTTCTTTCCAATCCATGGCCTTTGGGGACAGTAACACCTCTTCCCCCAAATAATACGGTGGAGGGTAAGTTCTGGGGTTCAAGCAAGTGCAAGTGTTTGTAGCGTGTTGAGATTAGTGAAAATATCCATGAATAACAATGGAAGACTATCTATGTTGTCCATAGAACGTTGTTCTAAGTTTTTTATAATTTGTGTTCTGTGATGGCAGGTATGTCAGCTAAAACAGAGACTATCCACTTTGGACCATAATTATGCTGCACGGGAAGAGAAAGAAATATGTACAACTTCAGTGATAGAACAAGTTTTTTTTTGACCTTTTTGTTTCTCCCCGCTTGATGGTCAAAGAATGACTTGCAGTCAAGACTATTATGGGATGGGCAAAGCGAAACATTTTGTAAACTCACCTCTGTTACTGGTGCAGTGACTGATGCAGTTTCAGTATTAGGGGAATACGTGAAGGATGAGCCCTGGTTGAAGCTTTTGAGTGACCGTTTGAGGTATTTCCTAAAAAATGGTTCTAAGTCGTAAATCTTGTTCTGTAGAAATTTGGGAACGAGCATATTGAACATCTTATTGTCGGTAATTGTGATGATTCTTCTTAAGATGTATTAAGTCTGGGTTTCTGATTGTGTATCCAGGATAGATTTTACAGAAGCAACAAGAAAAACGTCAGATATCGAATTTCTCCCAACTGCCACAGGAAGTAACCTGGAGCCTTTTAATGGTTTACAGGTATGACCCCCACAGTCCCAGACATAGGGCACTTTTCTCTACAAATTGGAAAAAGGAATAAAATTCACTTAGTTTCAGGGTTGGAGCCAGGATTCTTTCCTGCGACCCAAACACACACACACACACACACACACACACGAACTCAAATGTTTAACCTGGAGTGTTTCTAATGTAAATAGTTAGAGTTGATAAATGCTTTCCATATCTCATGACTAGTAAAAATTTGGATTAATTTTGATCGGTCTTTAATCTTTATATCCCCCACGTAATCACTTGCCAGGAAAAGAGTAAGAGTGAGAATAAGCCTACCCGGTCTGGAAGGCAAGTGAAGAAGGCCAAAGTGGAGACGGAATCACATAACATCAGAGATATGTTTACTAGGGCTTCTTCAAGAAGGAAAAAGTGAACCATTTGAAATCGAAACACACTTGTGTAAAGTGTGAATCGTGAAGTTCCTTCGTGATTTGGTTTGCCAATTGAAACCGACTTGATTAGCAAACAATTAAAACATCAGCATTGACTAACATGCTGCTGCCTTGTAATGCGTCGACTGTATCATTGATTCGTGTCACAGTGATTAGTAACTTGTTGCTCAAGTTTGATCAATGTTCAATTAGTAACATCTGAGTTTGGCACATCATGATGTATCGTGCACAACTTTGTTCAGTTTGTTGAATATGTACTGCAAATTTCTGTTCAGAGGAAAGCTAAGCTCAGTAGCCACTGTGCGGGGATGGGTGACTCTTAGTTGTTGGACGGACAAATGTAGGTCCCATCGTGGTACCTGTGTCCATTAACGGTAGACAGCGTCCCATCGTGGAATCTATGTTCATTAATGCTTGACAGTCACCAACACGCAACCTCGCTGAGGTGTCTTGCAATACAAGTTGCAATCTCAATTGCGCCCCACCCGTCTGGCCCATGAATTTGTCATGCCGTTGGTATAGTCGGGCCCTGGAATCCGTCGACCATATCTGATCGTTTGAATGTGACTCTGAATAGTGTTTTTATTTTTTATTTTTTAAATGTTAGGATTTACTCTTTTTTTTTTACTCTCTGTGGCTTTTATTCCTTGGAATTTGCATAAATATATTCAAGGCATGATTTCAGGAATAAAAGTGTAAGGTACACTCGTTTGCTTTAATTTTGATTCACTTGAGGATTATTTTTTCTGATTTATAATTGGGTATTCCATAAGTTTTGTTTCTGTTCATCAACACTCCCACCAGATTAATCAATATAATCTACAGATTTTCATTTATGACAGTGAAAATTTTCTAGTTTTTCATGTGCATGTTATCCGTTAATGTGTTTTTTGAGTTTCATATACATTCCATCAAGGATTGACAATTGCTGATACAGATGATATTGATGATTGTCAAAGCACAACTCTTTATGAAATACTAAAGTTTATGTAGTTGTAAGGACTATTAGGGAGCATTTGCCTTCAGTCGAGTTCGAATTCTCCCTTCTTTTAGCCTTCTTATGGTCTGATTCTACACGGTTGAGAGTTCTTAATTGCACTTTATGTGACATGCTTGACTTGAGGGCTTGTTGCCTCATGGGCTGGTAAGTTCTAGCTCTTGCGTAAAACGTCATCTGTAGAGCATCTCTCACAAAAACATAAGACTCTGTATTTTGTCAGATGGACCTACCTAAGTTTTTCGCCCTTCTTAGTAGGGAACCATATTTGTTGGAAAATTCCTTTGTCTAGATGCTCAAAAGAGTTGCCAGATGAATCATACAAGCTAATAAGATACGTATATCCTTTGTTCTTTGATTTATTGGAGAATGTATAGGCAGTTACAAGCTGATTCATCATCCTCATGTTTCTTGCCTTCCCTTATCTGATGAGTAACATTTTGTGAGAATAATCGATTAAGAATTGATTTCTTTCGAAAATGTTTTAAATTCAATCCCTATGAAGCTTGAAAACATGATGTACATAGTGCAACAAAGTCTACCTACTTTTGTGAATGTCGCACTTTCTTTTCGTTACAGTCGCCATATTGATGAGTGACATGTACCGCACAGATCGCATCCTATCACTCATTTCATTAAGTTCAGATGGAATATCAATTGAGGAAGACTTGGTTGGACTGATTGAAGACTATGGAGCTGACGCATTTCCATTCATCTAAGAAGAGAAGACAAGAGCTAAGGGCTGCCGATGAAGCAAAGCATGAAGGGGGAAAACTCGAAGAGTTGTTGACGCATCAAGGACGAAACCATGTCTTGTCTAGTGATGGCAGAGAGGTAGAGTTTTAGGCCTCTTTACTTTGGTGCTCATACGAAGAGCTCATGAGCTCCAGTGATCAAGACTTCGAAATCATCCTAGTCTCCACAGACCGAGGCCCAAAAGAGTTTGACTCAACACGAGTAGCATGCCATGGCTTGCCATATCCTACCAGGACAAAACAAGGCAAGACCTTTGTTGAATCTTCGACATCAAAGTGATTCCGGCCCTGGTTCTGATAGGACCGGATGGGAAGGCTATTAGCACAAATGGGAAGGCTATGATCTCCTTGTACGGTGCCAAGGCCTTCCCGTTCACAGAATCGAGGATCAAAAAGCTCGAAGCAGCATTGAGAAATGAAGGAGAGGCATTGCCTCCTCAAGTGAAGGACTTGAAGCATGAACATATGCTTAAGTTGGAGATGGCCAAAGCATATGTGTGTGATTATTGCAAAAAACAAGGGAGGTTTTGGGCATTTTCTTGTGGTGTTTGTGATTATGATCTTCATCCAAATTGCGTAGAAAAATCGTTGTAAAAATAGGTTTTACGAGTTATGAAATTTGTATATCCTGAGAAGTACTGTAAAATGTTGATAAGATAATAAAAAATCTGAAAGTGTGTACTTCTCACTCTCAGCTTAGGTTAGTATGAAATCTGGATCTTGATGCATAAGTAAATGCTTTTAACTGTTATAGTTACGAGCCCTTGTGGAGCATTAGTTGTCATATTCCCAAATAAAATGATATTAACAACATTTTGTATTTGTAACAATAAAACGATTACTTTTGTTAAGAAAACTAAAGTCAAAGTAAAATTTATTAATTTAGAAAACATCATTAATATTACCTGATAAAGGGTGCATTTGTTAAATTAAGTTATCTAGTTTGATGAAATCTTGACTCTTGACTTCTCATATAATGGTATGATGGTTTCACTTTGACTGTACATTTGTTAAACTACTTCTCAAATTAGTCATCCATGCGTGTGCTCATCCTGACCGTTCATGATTGTAAAATTCATGCCCGGGTGCAAGACTGATCATAACCTTTTCTTAATCTCTGTCAATGCGAGTCAGTTTGTATCCGAATTCTTATAATTTGTTTTAAAAGTGAATAACAATGACATGGATGAGAATTTGAAGGAGAGGGAGGGTTGACTGAGAGACAAAATAGTCATTAGATAGGGAGAGGCCAAAACACCAAAACAATCCGCAAATGGTGGAGGATCTCTCATATTAACAACCCAATTGAAGAGAGTGAGATATTTATGGATTCACCAGTGAAAAAATCAAAAGCAGTTTGTTATTCCCAAAAGTGCTTTTTTTCCCTTCTTGTTTGTTGCTATCCAACAACAAAAAAAAAAGGTAACATTAAAGTCAACACAAACACAACACATACTTGAAACGCAAATCCTTTTGTCTCTCTTTGGAGACCCTGCTGCAAAAGAGAGACAGAGGACCTTAAACAAAGATATAAAACTTAAAATCCCACAAAAAAGAAGTTAAAAACCCTTTATTAATTCTGGGATTCTAAGGCTTTGTTTGGTAGTTTGTATTGGAAATTTTGTTTCTTCTTCTTTTTGTTTTCTTCTTATCTCTGAGGATTAAGAAACTACAGGAAAAGAAGAGAGAGAGAGAGAGAGAGAGAGAGAGAGAGAGAGATGTGGCTGCCCAATAATCAAGTGGACAGGAAGGAAGTAGGGAATGGAATTGTGGCAGTGGCTATAGACAAGGACAAGAACAGCCAATGTGCTCTCAAATGGGCAATTGACAATCTCATCAAACCAGGCCAATCTGTTCTTCTCATCCATGTCAAGATCAAGCCTCCTCTATTTTCACAGTCACCTTCTCTTTCCAATTCCACCCCAAGTGCGTACATATTTTCCATGTTTTCGTTTTTAGAGTAGTAATTTTCACGCTCCCATTTTCTTCTTCTGCACTGCTCCCCTCGCTTCCTTTCGTTAACTGTTGCTTGATATGCAATGTCTTTCGTCGTATGTTGCTTGATATGCAAGTTAACTCACTCTTCAAGATTTTTCATAATGGTGTTTGATTTTTGGTTGCAGGAAGTAATCCAAATTGGGACCAACAGTTCGTCTGCAAAGAACCTGATTCCCAAACCCGGGAATTGATCCGACCTTTTCGTGTTTTTTGCGCACGTAAAAATGTGAGTTTGATGAACTTATGCTTGCATTCTTGACCTTAACCTGAACTTTCATATTCATTGAGGTTTCATGTACAATTACATATCTGTTTAGGATTTGAATTTTTGATTGCTTTTTTATACTTTTGCGTTTTCTTTTCTTCTTCAAATTCAGATACAATGCAGAGACGTCGTACTAGAAGACTCCGATGTGACAAAAGCATTAGTCGAATACATTACTCAAAGTTCAATCGAGCATTTGGTTGTTGGTGCATCAGCGAAAACCGGCTTTCTTAGGTAAGTTCCTCCGTTTCTAAGTCAGCAGCCCTTGAACAAATTATTTACCCTCCTAGTTGTGCTATTTGATTGCAAGTTAAATTCCTGAAACTATGAAACCAACTGCCTTCAAATAAATGACAAGACTCTCTAGGGCGTTATGATGCTTCGAATGCTTTGAAATTCCACAGAACATTGTCTTAATTTTTTGAAAAAAAAATTATGTAGATTCAAAGCATCAGATATTCCAGGAAGCTTATCAAAGGCGGCACCAGACTTTTGCAATGTATATGTTGTAGCCAAGCAAAAACTTCAATCAAGGAGGGCCGCCTCGCGTCCTGCCCCCGCCACCTCACCCCTACGAAATCCAGCTTTTAACCACACCCCAAGCGCAAAGCCAGAGCCATATGTCTTCCCACCTTCTGGTAACAAAGGTTAGTTTCTTTCATCACTTAAACATAATCATACCCCACTAATTTTTCGCGAGTCAAGAAACCTTAAAATGTTGAATCCTCTTCCAGGAAATGAAAAGCCACCAGAACCGCAACGTAAATCCCACGATGAAATGGACAACTTCAGGTCAGTAGAAGCACTCAATCTCTCCCTTTCAACGAAGATGGACAAAACGGTGTTTTTAAACATACAGCAAATTTTATCTATTTTGTTGTGAGAACTAACATAGTCGTATCATGGAAAGCAGGTCTCCTTTTACTAGGAAAGGCCCAAATGGGAAGTCATATGCAGATCTCCCTATGCCGGATACTGACATATCTTTTGTTAGCTCTGGAAGGCCAAGCATTGACCGTATCTTTCCTGCGTTTTATAACGAAAACCTAGATTCAGGGAGAGTCACCCCACCGCGAATGTCCAACAGCACGGAAATAGACTTGAACCACAGCTTTGAGTCTATGCAGTACTTTGGACGGAGGTCCGTAGATGTCAACTCCTCTCCACCCACATTCTCCTCGGTTTCTCAGGATAGCGATAGGTTATCCTCTGCATCACAGCCAATGGTAAGTGTATCTAGTCTCTATCTATTTACTAATATGTACTTCTAGTTAAATTTTGTTCCAATAGAAACATTTTATGTCACTTGAAATTTCAGGAAGAGGTGGAGGCTGAAATGAGAAGGCTAAAGCTGGAGCTCAAGCAAACTATGGAAATGTATAGCACTGCCTGTAAAGAGGCACTCTCGGCGAAGCAAAAGGTATGCAAAATTCTATCAGCATTTACACCTGTCATGATTTCACATAGCTCTTATAATTGATGTTATTTTACAGGCGGTAGAACTCCAGCGCTGGAAGTTAGAAGAAGAAAGGAGAATGGAAGAGGCGCGGCTAGCTGAGGAAGCTGCAATGGCTATTGTAGAAAAGGAGAGAGCTAAGTCCAGAGCAGCCATTGAGGCTGCTGAAGCAGCTAAGAGGATTGCAGAACTAGAAGCACAAAAAAGAATCAATGCAGAAATGAAAGCACTTAAAGAACAGGAAGAGAAGAAAAAAGCACTTAACGCTCTGCAACATTCGGATGTCAGGTATAGGAGGTACTCAATTGAAGAGATTGAGGCTGCCACGGAGTTCTTTACAGAATCCCGCAAGATTGGAGAAGGAGGTTATGGTCCTGTATATAGATGTTATCTAGACCACACTCCTGTTGCAGTTAAAGTTTTGCGTCCAGATGCAGCGCAAGGAAGATCACAATTCAACCAAGAGGTATGAAACAAAAAGGCGCGTGTTCCTTTCCAAACAGTTTGACAATATAGGATACTTGTGTTGCCAAACTATGCATTTGGGCCACCAGTTTGGTTGATTCTTGTATTGCTGGGCTGTTGGACAAGAGAAAATTTCATTTCATGACAAGTTTGGAAACATTACTTTTTCTTTGGTTGATTCGCTAATTACTATGAACAGGTTGAAGTACTGAGCTGTATACGGCATCCTAACATGGTTCTCCTGCTGGGAGCCTGCCCGGAATATGGATGCTTGGTTTACGAGTACATGGCTAATGGGAGCTTGGAAGACCGTCTTCTTCGTAGAGGAAACAGTCCACCTCTCTCTTGGCAACTTAGGTTTAAGATTGCAGCTGAAATTGGGACAGGCTTGCTATTCCTCCACCAGGCCAAACCAGAGCCACTAGTCCACCGCGACTTAAAACCCGCTAACATCTTGCTTGACCGCAACTATGTGAGCAAGATCAGCGATGTCGGCTTGGCCAGACTCGTGCCCCCATCCGTTGCTGACACCGTGACGCAGTATCGCATGACATCAACAGCCGGCACATTCTGCTACATAGACCCTGAGTATCAGCAAACCGGCATGCTTGGTGTCAAGTCTGATGTGTACTCTCTTGGGATTATGTTTCTACAAATGATCACAGCCAAGCCGGCAATGGGATTGACTCACCATGTTGAAAGGGCTATTGAGAAGGGGACTTTCGCGGATATGCTAGATCCATCCGTGCCAGATTGGCCGGTTGAAGACACATTGAAGTTTGCCAAACTGGCTCTCCAGTGTGCAGAGTTGCGGCGAAAAGACAGGCCGGACCTTGGAAAAATTATCCAGCCAGAACTTAACAGATTGAGAGGGATTGCCGAAGAGACAATGCACCCAACACTGATGGCTGGTGATCATAGCCCCTCATGCAAATACAGCCAAGTTTCGGTGCAGCTAGTAAGTGTATATGGCCAATAAACTTAGTCCTCTTTCCCTCATCAAAATCCTAATTTCAACCCTGAAAATTGTCGAATGCAATCTAAAAGGTGTTGATTCGTTTTTGCAGGAGGGGAGTGAACCAGGTACAAGATCTACTGAGAGCTAGGAACACCCATCAAACACTCCCCATCATCTCAAACCCTTAGACTATTTAAGAAAACATGTATAAGGATTGTAAGTAATTAAGCAGAACAAAAAAAAATGTACAAGTTTTGTAGATAAACTGACGAGTCGATGAAACTCAACATGTACGTGAGTTTGGTTGCTGGTATTCTAGAGTAGTCAATTTCTTACGATCAACTATCAATTTCTTATATATTCTCTTTGTTGAAACACAAAAAATAGAGGATTCAAATCTTTCGGTACTGCATGTATCTAAATCACTATTCTCAAGTATTCTTTGTCGATAATTGATACAAGTATGAAGAATTGAAACAATCAAATATCCTTAAAGACTACAGATTAACACTACGCTTATGTTTCCAGATGTTTAAGCGATCGAGTCCAATCAAAACCATAGTCGAACTGAAAACCTTCCCTTTTAAAAACGCCATTAAAGAGTCTCTTCAGATAAGCATAATCTGGTTTAGCATCAAACGTCAATGACCTACAGTAATGGAAGTATACCGAAAACTCGGAAGGGTAACCAGAGCATAGCGACTCGATAGAAGTTGACAATTTCTTTTCTGCGATATTCTCATCTTTCTGCTCTTTTGTCCCCGCTTTCAAACCCTGCCAAGGAAGACTTCCTCTTAGAAAGTACAAAAGCACATATCCTAGTGATTCCAAATCGTCCCGGCGGCTTTGTTCAATGCCAAGATGGTTGTTCACGCTTGCATATCTTGCAGTACCTACCAGACTTTTATTGTCTCTGTACGCAATATGCCGATGAGTTAAAGAGTTTCTATACTTCTTAGCGAGACCGAAGTCGATGATGTAAACCTGATTCGCCCGTCGACCCACTCCCATCACGAAATTGTCTGGCTTGATGTCGCGGTGCAGGACTGATTTCGAATGAACAAACTCCACTCGATCGAGCATTTGATCTGCGAGCATGAGAACCGTCTTAAGAGAGAATTTCTTACTGCAAGCTTGGAATAAATCCTCAAGGCTAGGTCCAAGGAAATCCATGACAAGAAAACTGTAGTCTCCTTCAGAGCCAAACGATCTCACGTTTGGAACTCCAGGTCCTCCATGTAGTATTTTATACAACTTTGATTCATACAGCAGTTGTGGATGCCTCGTCTTGGCACTTTCGAGCTTGATAGCAACCTCCTCGTTTGTCTGAATATTACTACCCCGGTAGACCTGTCCAAACGATCCGCTACCGATCTTTCTAACAAGTTGAAACCTTCCATCCACCAAAGGCTCCATATCCCCCAAAACCCTACGACGACAGAAAAACCCTAGCCCTAAATAAAAGCTTAAGATCGAAAACAATTAAGGAATGGTTTTGAAGGGAAGGTGAAGAATCGTCAAAAGGGAGAAAATTCCTGACGAGTAACGACTACGCAACGTTGACTTAATTATAAAACATTACAACCCTAATTAGGAAACCTAACGATTAAAACCCTAATTAGGAAACCTTCCGATTCCAAGATTATTATTACCCTTACTAAATTTTTAATACCACATTTGTACTCCTCCTTTAATTTGAGAGATTTTTCGTTTGATCGGAACATTGAATGATACATATGCCATTATATAAATGATGGGATATGTGTGTTAAAAAATTAATAATTTAAAAAATACAAATTTCCATCACTTATATAAAAACACGTGATGTACCTGTCGATCACAAAGAAATTTTTTTCCTTTGATTCCACATTTGGGCCGGATGTTTTCTTTCCCAATCAATTTGGGCTTTCTACTGTTAAAATATTTCAATGTACTTTTTTCCTACCAATATATATATTATCTTATTTTTTAATTTTTTTGCTTTATTTTTTTAAACAAAAGATATTATTTACATTAAGGATGAGTGGTAGGAAATAAGATACTTTATTAAACATAGTAAAATAAGAGAATTGCTATTAGCACTCCAAAAATCTCATTTGCCACTCCAAACTTTCTATAATTAGAAAGAAAAATACACTTGTGAGGAGTGTATAATAAGATTTTTAGAATGCTAAGTAATACTATTAAATATCTATTCAAAACCAAAACGTAAACATCATGAACGAATCTCTTAATTACATAAAAGACACGCAACTTAATTACATATAGATAAGAATTCTGATGAAATCATTACAAAAAATCAAACCCATAACTGAAAATAGAGATAAAAAAAAAAAGTATGATTTGTATATTCCTGAAAATATTACCCGATAGAAATTGCTAGTAAACCATAAAAACTCCCCACGAGATGGAAGCTACCTACTATTTCCGTTACCAAAAACTCTGCCACAAAGGCACAACTTTGAAATACGAGATTAATTTCCAGCCACTGCATGCTCTGCGATTGTAGCGTTCCATTTTAATGGAGGATGTTTACACGAGGCAATGGGAGGGTCTGCATGTCTTACACCTAATCCAGACAACCAAACTCACATGCGGTGCATGCATCTACTTCAGTTCTCTCTATTCTTCCCTTCCTGTATATCTTGAACCAATTCGCTCTTGTTTCATCAACTAGCAAACTTTGAGTTGCAAAAGTTAAAGAGTGTCTTCGTGTAGTGATGGAGTTCCGTCTCTCAAAAATGCTTACTTTTCTCACTGTAAGTATAATTAAGCTAGCTCCATCTCCTAGTTAATTTATTTGGATTATCCCTTCAAATGATTTTTTTAGTTCAGTCTCTGCATTCTAATTGTTTACTAATTTCGTTGTTTTCTTAAGTAATGATTGTTTAACTTCTACCGTTGCAGCTGACCACACTGGTGGGAATGGCAAGTCATGCAGCTGCTGTGCGGCAGCCGTTGCCTCAACTTTCCTACTGGAACTCCGTCCTGCCGAACACGCCAATTCCAAAAGCTTTTCGTGAACTTATCCATCCTGGAGGTTTGTGTGTGTGTGTCTGTAAATTATTGAAAATTGATAGCAAAATGGTTATCAAACGAGTCTATAGTTTCACGTACGATTATATTGACTATATTGACATGTATGCATACGTATAGTCCCTCACTTGTACTTTGCTTTGGTTTATGTTGCTAAATCTGCAGACTTAGTATCCAAGAACTTTCTCCGTCCTGCTGGCACTGAGAACCAACTTGACAAAGCCACTGATGCTCTTGGCCCTTGTGCTGGCTTGGTCCTCATGGAGAAGGACTTGCACCCTGGAAAAACACTGAAATATGGCTTCCCCAGAGATACCACAAGCAAATCATCACGCTTTGTGTCCCGCCCAACCGCGGAGTCGATCCCCTTCTCATCAAACAAAATGGAAGAAATTCTCAAACGATTTTCGCTGAGGCCGGAATCATCAGAAGCCAATACAATCAAGGAAACCATTGGTTATTGCGAAATGCCGGCCATGAAAGGAGAAGAAAGATATTGTGCTACCTCTTTGGAGTCACTGGTTGACTTCGCCACCTCCGAGCTCGGATCGAATATCCGAACAATGTCGACGGAGATGGAAAGAGGAGCCAACAATGATGTGGAGCAGACTTACACAATAACCGACGGAGTGAAGGTGCTGGCCGAGGACAAAGTCGTCACGTGCCATAAGATGAGCTATCCATTTGCTGTGTTCTTGTGCCATGCCATAGAAAAGACAAGGGCCTACATGGTGCCTATGGAAGGTGCCGACGGGACCAAGGCAAATGCAGTAATTATATGCCATCGAGACACATCTAAATTTGCACCAAACAACTGGGGCTTGTCACAGCTCCATCTTAAACCAGGAGAAGGTCCCCTCTGCCATCTTCTCTCCGACGGACATCTTACCTGGCTTAGAGAGAAAAACCTAGATGAACAATACATAGTTTCAGTTGCCTGATCGTCGTTAATATCTGAAACAGAACCCCATAAGAATGGCGTACTTGTATCTGCTCCATGAAAATAAATAATAACAGGCAGCTGAATAAAAATAGAATCCCATAAGAATGGGGTACTTGTAGATGCTCCATGAAAATAAATCAAGGAATGCCTAGAGAATGGGTTGTTAGTTAATGATGCATTTGAGAGTTCTTTTTGTTCCCAACACTTCCTTACGAAGATCTAGATCCCTATTTCAAAATCTAATTAAAGTAGGTTTACAACCGTTGAATCCCACGACCAGAGGGGAAAGGAGAAAGGTAATTTAAATAAGATTACTCCATTCTAACTGCACATGCACCGAGGCTTTTTCTAATAAAATCACATACCTAACAGATTAAACAAGTAGTAATTACTAAGTTGAGAGCAATATTGATATTGTTAGAGTAGGGTCCTCAGCCCGTCAACATGAAAATTTCAACATGGTACCAAAGTCAAGGGACAAGCTCATACAGCCACGTGATTGGGTGGATCCCTGTTCGCCCCGGATGATTATTTTGTGCAAATTGTGAAACCCTGATTGGGATTTGAGGATCAAAATCGAAGGTGACATGATTAATAAATGATGTCGAGTAGATTTCAAGTCAGATGCCATGACTAAGAGAAGTTAACGTAACTAAAAAACACCCCCATTTCATTAACAAATCCCACAAAATAAGGACGATAATCTCATCTCTAATCACATATTACATGTTACAACATACATAGGAGATCAAAAATTCATGTAACTAAAGATGAATTCCCAATCTGTCACCGGAAAGAAAGAAAAAGATCGACTCACAATCTCGTTTGGAGAACTAGTAAATACACACCACACGCACTGGCAAGAATTGGCACAATGCAATCAAACGCAATAGCAACTCCGCCAAAACCGACTACCAGCTCTAGTGTTAACGGTAATACATTAACTGGTTGCCGGATGAACTATTAGGATAGGCATCATACATAGGTTGGGACCCGCCGGAGTTCAAGGCCATGGACGTGGCACCAGCCTGACTAAAGGCAAGTTGGCGCCGATAAGCCATCAAGTCAGCCGGAGAATAGCCTTGGTTTATACCGGCAGTTGGAAGAATCTGATAGGGCTGGGCAGGAGGAGGTAGTGGATTAGAAGCTATCCCGGCAGGAGTTGGTTTGCTACCCCACGAGCACTGGATGCACGATTACACAAAACAAAAGATGTTTTATCATGACAGAAATAACACTGACTGTAATTTGACTGACCACCAGCGAAAGACGTAAACAGTACAAGTCGTCTGTGTAGGTCAATCGTATGCATAGCAACCCACTGAAAGGTGTCAAGTGTCATTTGCATATGTGCATTGAAGAACAATATGAACGAGGCAAAGGAAGTGTGACCATCAAAATGAAAAATTTGCAGTAGAGTTTCCATTACCTTCATGGACTTTCCATGAATTATCCTGCCATTTCCCATTTGAATAGCCAGGGCTGCTTCATCATGGGTGTTGTATCTCACAAATCCGAAACCTTTATCCCTCTGCACACGTACTTCCTCAATAACCCCAGCCCCAAGAGCATGAAACTGACTATGAAGTTCAGCTTGAGTAACCTGCTAAGGCAAACCAGATTTTCAGCAGGATTTTATGGTTGACAACTTATAGACGTAACCTGATAAGGCAAACCAGTTATGTCATAGGACCAAATTCAAGGTTTAAAACTCATATTCGAAACATAATAATCACTGTTAATCACCTCATGGGAGAGGTTGCCAACATAGACAGTCGTGTACGCTTGATTGTTTTCTGGGGCCTCTTCATTGGAGTTCTCCGGACCTCCATCTGCAAAATAAAGTAAACAGAAGAACTAGCCATCAACATCAAGTCTTGTCTGAACTAACCATCAAGTTCCGGTATAATGACTCATATAATACGGCAACATATACTAGGATCAACCATCAATCTAAGACCTACCTCCTATAGCCAGTTATTTTAAATTGCAATAGCAAAATGCAAAGGTCACCTAGAAGCCCAAAACAAGAAACTTCTGGCCAACCAAGTCAGCAACTTTTCAATCTACCTGAAGATCCATTTGTAAGTACAACGGCGTTTTGAGTGTCACTACTTGGCTTCTCGTCACTAGAACCAGCACTTTTGGTTGCCCAGTTGCATCTTATTTGCCTATTTCCAAGCCATTTACCTACACAACAAAGTCCAGAACACATCAACCATAGCTCAACCAGTATCACAATGTTCTTGCACTGACGAAAACTATGCAGCACGAGGCAACATGTTAGATGTGTTACCTGTTAAATCATTGATAGCACTCTGAGCTTCCTGAAAAAAATTTCCATGAGGCACTTAATCAGTTTAAAATGTACCAGAGTTCTAAGATTGTAAAACCAACACAATAAATAACACAATAAATAAAACAATGGCGTCATGTTAATACCAACTCCTCTAGGTACACAAAGTCAGCACAAATGGTGCAGAAAAACCAATCCGCTATAATAAGCGACATTGCTTTACACATTTTATGTGCACCACTAAGCACATGAAAGAGTGCAACGCACAAGCAACCTTGATGTGATTCAGGGATTTTAAATAAATGTGGGAGAAGATTTAGGCTGGGATGAATCTCACACCAAAACTCTCTAGTTTATACTCACAACAACGTAATACCTGCTGTTCACGGAAAGAAACAAAGCCATATCCCTTTGAGCGGCCAGTTTTGTGATCCCACATGACCCTTGCATCACTGCAAATGATAAAAATGACAAAAACAAAAAGTCTTGTAAAACTAACATCATGCATTTGGAAATTAATAGGGTGATTCAAATTGTTATCCACCCAAGTGGAAACAAGCAATAAACTAAGTGAGAACCCTTACTAAGTTTAACATGAAAAGTTGATGATAGTAATGAGGAAAAATTATAACATGCTACCCTAGCCCCTGGGATATATATCCTACAAATTTGAAAAAAAAAAACGATAATCAAAAGAAACAGGAACTCACGAACAACTAGGATAGAACCTGAAGCAAGCAAATAAAGTTGCATCGGTAACCTCTGGACTAAGATCACCAACAAATATGTTGAAGTGCCCTGATCATTGTAAAATTGCATAAACGGAATGAACCCTAATAAGATTGTAACGACCCGTTGAAAAAATAAAATAAAATTGTAAAAAGAACAGCAGTAGAACAACTGAAGCTCAAAGTAACCTGAAGTATCCTCCCTCTGGCTATTGGCATATGCCCAATTCACCTTAAGTGCCTGACCATAACTGCAAACCAGATTTAGAAATACTAATGAATATAAACAATTCTCGAAGCTATTGACAGACATACAACATACATGGTCGAAGTCAAGAAAGGCAAGAGAATAATAGCCACACTTGTTCTAAAGTAAGTGAATGCTTACAGTTGGCGTCCATGCAGATTCGTTATTGCATGGGCTGCAGAGTGTCGATCATGGTAGTCAACAAATCCATATGACGACTGCCAAAAAAAAATATATATATATACATACAGCCACATCATGAATTCGTAAGGAAAAGAAATCTTGAAGTTGAACATAGGATTCCGATTTTGTTTGCCGCAATTAACAATTTCTCCAGCTAGTTACATATTTTACTTAAGAAATGCATCATGTTACAAGATCAAAGTGTAAGCACTTGTAGAATCATTTCACGACCAATTGGAAAACACTAGATGTCTTATAGATGTGTAGGAGACTCACATTATCGCATATATTTCCGTAAATTGAAGTAAAAAACAGAACCTTCAAAAGAGGAATGACAAAATTATATACAAGGATTCAAAAGAACGCGAAGCATGTGATGTATCATGTACCTTATCCTTTTTTATGAGCTTGCATCCTGCAAGAGGACCAACACTCTGGAAGACTTCAGCTAGAAGCTTATCGGTGACATTTACATGAATATTTCCAACATAGCTGAAACCATCATACCATCAAAATAATAAGTCTTAATTCAAGATATATCCACTTGAATATTAAACGGTATGAACTACTTGAAGTTTCGCTGTCCACTTAAGCTAAAGAACCTTCAAGTAGATAAGCATAAAGATGAATGGGAAGGAAAACAAAAAGAAATTCCAGAAAAGAAAAAATGGAAAACTACTATCTAGCACTTACACACTGTTGCACTGAGACGGGTCAAATCCGGGAGGCAGATTTCCACTTGGGATAGGCTCCATCTGCACATTGTAAAAATATAAAGAAGATAAACAAATAATACTACTCTCAACCAAAGAGTATATAAAATCTTAATCCCCACACAAAAAAAAATTGAATTAACAATTTATATTTGCTGTTCTGATGAATCACATAAAGCTTGAAATTTTAAATAAATTAAGTGAAACCCAATAACTCAAATTATCTAAATTTGTCCACAAACAACAATTTCTTCACAAACAAGAGAGAGAGAGAGAGAGGGAGGGAGGGAGAGAGGGGACCTGAGACATGGCAGCAGCGAGCACGCCAGGATGGTACATGTGTTGTTGTTGCTGCTGAAGAAGTGCTTGCTGCATTATGGCTTCTTGTTGTTGCTGAAGCTTCAATCTTTGTTGCATATTACACTATTCTCCCTAATTTAATTTTTATTATAAAAAAAAACCCAAAAAAATAATCAGAAAAACAGAGGCAGATCACCCATTAAATCCCAGTTTTCAATTTCAATCATTGAAATCAAAGCAAGTGCAAAAACATACAGTAAGAAAGAAATAAACCAAATTGAATTCAATAATCCAAATTCCAGAAAGTCCCAAACTTTCAATCGAAATTCATTTGGGGTTCTGAAGAATTGAACTATTTTTTCTCTTGCAGGTGAAAAATCGGAGTGGCGATAAGATAATTCAGATAAATTGAAACCCAGAAACAAAAATAAATCAAAAAATGGAAAAAGGAAGAGAGAGAGGGGGAGAGAGAAAGAGAGAGAGAGAGGAACCTGAGGGTAGAAAATGGAGCGAAACTCGGTGCGGGTTCTT